AATGCATTACTTATTTACGAAGCCCATGTATGCAGTCACTTGCAAATCATCCCACCTTTAGTGGGGAACGCTCAAATCAAAGGCTCCAGAATCTGTCCAAATTGAGATCAGTAGGCGCTCTCATTAGTGTCTTAGAGTTTCCTTCACTGTAGAGACTTTAGCAACCTCTTCTCAAGGCATCTGGCATCTCTGGACCACCTAGGATTGCCATAAAAACTGCCTTCCTCGGCCTGCATCAGATACCATTAGAGTGGTGATGGCTGGCCACATGCTCAGCAATTCTGAAAGCAGTCTCTCACAGACCCTGGACACCTGTTCCTCCACACCAAGCTGGCCATTATGCCTCAGGTCATGGGAGCAGCACTCCGCCAGCCCTGCAATGTGACTGGGGCCTCCTTTCTCGAGGCTGGAGCCAACCTGGACCCTCTGATCACATCCCACCTGCAGAAGGGGCTAGCCTCACTTCTCCTCCATCCTTTGCCAGGTGCTACAGTGCTAGAGGAGGTCAGACCAGTCCCAGAGAGTCCCTTGGGAGCAATTGAGTGACCATTAATAGGTGTTTATACACTTTGTGGACCATATTGCCACCATTATATAGGATGGAGCTCAGTGGAATGTTGCTGCTTTCCATTCCTAATCCAAGGTGTCCCTGATAAGTGACAGGAGCTAAGGGTCAGCACAGCTGGCCACACATCAGACAATCATCTTAGCCTCAGAGACCTTGGCCAGTAAATGGCCCCATCTGTATATTTTTATAAATTCTTATGTGTTGTGTAAAAATTGACCGCTTTTAGGTAAAGGAGTCTGACAATCTCTTGCCTCACAGAGATCTAAACTATAAATAAAGGCAACAGTTGTTATTACCTGTACCAATCCCCTAATTCAAGGCCTCTCCTGAACACGCCTCATCCCTTCATAATTCCAGAGATCATTAATAGTGACCAAGGCATTCATTTCACTTTTCAAAGCAGACAATATTGTGCTCTTGAAGAAGTCATTCAATGCAACTTACATGTCCCTTCTAAGCCCCAGACATGCAGTTTAATTGAGGCACAATGGCCCCCTCAAACAGCTCCAAAGAGAGCAAATGGATGCCCTGCTATTGCCACAGGTAGAGATTAATCTGAAGCCACATCCCCTGAGGACAAGCACTCCCTATACTAAAGCCACACAGATTCCTCAATTTCCTTTATCGGCCACAAAAGGACTGCCTCTAAAGTTCACGTTTTTGAAAACCACCTTGCTGCGTGGCCCGCCTCCTCTTCAAGTGCCTGCTTCACGTCCTAAAGAGGCACTTCTTCCTACTCCCTAGAAATCTCAGTTCATCGCCAAGGTAAAAACTGATGTCAAGTCATCAAAGAGTTAATTATGGTCCAAGAATGAAAATTAAGGCCCAGTGTTGTGCACTGCCTTGACATCTGGCATAACCAGGAGTGCCTTAAATAACCAAACCTCACCTTCCGCATTTTCCTCCTGGAGATAAGATCCCTCAGCCAAACCATTCTCCTCATCAGTGAGTTTCATTTCCAGGCCAGCCCCATTGAATTCAAACGAGCCAGTCCCATCCTCCAGTCAGAACCAAGGAGAACACCTCCGTCTCAAAACCTGCTTCTTCTAGCCCCTGGTTTCCCCTCTGTCCCTGAGTGTAACCTCACCCCTTGGCCCTGTGTTTTGTGTGGTGTCCTTCTCCCCCAAAGCTGGGAGAATATGTGACCAATAGTTGTTGTCAGTTTCACCCGTCTGTCCAGGGTCAGATGTTGTGTGTTCCCCATCCCCAAACCCTAGCGTGGCACTCTCTCCCTCATCAACAGAGTGGATAACTGACGGTTAAAACTACCCTTTCCTACCTTATTTTTCTTTCAGCATTGGGATAAATTAGTTGAAGTTGAGCTACGTTGGGTGAACTTACTAGGTGGGATGATAATGATTTTGTAAAATCAGGTTATTCAGCCCTATTCTTGGTGAAGCAGCAGTTTGTTAAATCTGATTTCCCTGGGAGATGTACTCATATTTGTTTGACTCTAGTTTTGCTTATTCGCTGCCAACATAACATGTTGTTAAGGGGAATAAAAATGCATATATTAAAACAACATTCTAAATATAAACCAGAAAAGGACAGTCAGAACAGTCTTTGGTTTCTTAGTCCAAATTTTATGGTGCTTTATACGTGAGAATCATCCTTACAAATGAGCATGTGGCAGGGAGAGCACTGAAATTTTAAAATATAAAATGAAGTTCTAGATGCTGTGACTTATTTGTGTGTGTTTAAGTAGACTTATTCCCAGGATTTCAAGTTAAAGTAAGACACAAAGACCGGAAGCGTATCCTGGCACAGACTAAGACCTCAAGAGTCCAGAGAAAGGGTCGGGGTAAGAAGAGTTAGGGTTAGGGTTAGGTTCTTCCGTAAGTTGGTCTATATTTGTCTCCTCTTTTTCATGGGGAGAATAAGGACCAGAATATTCTCAAGGCTCAGTTCTGCACTAAAATTCTATTCTTTTTCAGGGTCCACTTTAAAAAAAAACAGAAAATCAGATTAATTGCTAAGAAAGTTCATGTACTAGTTGATGAATACAAGCCAACCGACATGAAGGGGTTATGACTTCTTTAAAAATAGTTCCTAAAACATTCTTCAAAATCAGATGCAAAGGGAAGATAAATGAACAAATTTTTATCATTATTATGTCTTGTATTTATTTTTATTCACATTTCTTCCTTTTCATTATAAAGTGTCATGGATGTATCACAAAAAGAACCAGAGAGTTTAATTTAAACTGCATCTTTTTTGAATTGGTCAAGCCCACTTTTGGCACTGTAATACACTAGCCAAAGTTACGGGGGCGGGGGGTGGGAAACCCTAAAAAATATTTATAATTTACATATTACACGTTTCTAGAATGATTTCCAAATAAGCATAATTAATGAAAAAAATGTACTTAAGAGATATCATTTAAATAGTGATAATAATCATCAGTGATCACACAGAGAATAAAGTGCAATGCAGAGAGAGACTACCATTTCATAGAAAGATAAAAACTTAAAGTTCTCTAGGAATGTGAATATATAATGCAGATCAGGTCCCACTTGGATAACAAGCTCAGTAAAACTTGAGTGATAAGGAGAAAGTTAGCAGAATCTTCTACAAATAAGATTTCCTTCCTCATAAGCCTCTTTCTTTCTTTCATGTTGTCTTGTTTAAAGACAGCAGGATCCACTTAGGCAATAGCCTCTGCTATTAAGAGGGTTGAAAGAAATGTTACATCTTAAACTGAAATGCTGCGTTAATACCTACACTTTAAAAATACCTAATACCTGCTCATCCCACGTAACTGATTTTCAGTTGAAAATCTGCCTCCCACCCCAGCAGGAATACCCTTAACTGATAACCACAGTGCGGCCTCCTTGTCTTAGAGATTTGTGAAATGTTATGTCAGTGTCACATGATTCCACGTGATCTGTTCATGGTATCGCCACTTGTTTCCTTTCTGGTTTCTATAATTACAAGTGCATGATCACAGGTCACTGAGACACCTCTGAACTGAGTAACATTTGCAAACACTGGCATAGAAATCCATACATGTTTTCAAAGAAACGGTGAAAACAAAGCAAGCATCTACCAAGGCATCTCAATGAAAACATTCGGTATTAACTGTATTGTAAATAAAATGTATATCTTTCTTCTCTTTCTGACTTCTTCCTGGGGCATACTGTTCCACTTTATTTAATTATTTGCTGTATTTTAACTAGAATTATTCAACAATCATTTATTTTTATTACTTTTCTTTTTGTTTTAACTTACATATGTATAGGACTACATGGACTTCAGAAATCAAAACTGCTTCTCAGTCTCTTAAAACTTACTGGAGAATGAAGATGATTGTATTCTTTTTATTTTTCTCTTTCTCATTTCTCACTTTCTCTCTCTAATTTAACTTTACTTGGCATATTTTATTGTAACTGTGTCTTTGTGGTCTATGTAGCCCAGTAATAAATAAGGGTGGTTTTCACACAATGTCAAAAAAATTGATCATTGATTGCCCGAGTGTGTGGAAAAGTCCAAGCCAGCTTGTTGATGATCAAATATTATTATCTTCTAAACATGCATTTTGATATTCCAAACATTAATTAATAGAAGGCCACAGAATTTGTTTACCTATAATACAATTCTATCTCTTCATGTATATAAGTTTCTCTTGTGTTGATTGGTAACTCCAGCCATCTCACACACACACACACACACACGGATATCATTTTTTGAGAGAAATAATTGCCAGAAAACTTAGAAAGCGGTTGTACACTCCATTATTAATTAGGAAACACAACTGAGCATGACAGAAATCTCACACTTTTAGAATAAAATTCAGAATTTCAGGTTTATGCAATTCACCATGTTGACAATTGTTTTCTTCCCTTTGTCATAATTAAAGAAGAGTCACTCGCACTGGCAAGGGGAGGGAGGGAATGGGGATTGTGTTCCAGATTAGGTGATGGCAATGCTAATGAAATGTCCCTTCCTCCTAGGTTGACTGGTTGAGGAGTTGCCCAGTGATTATGAGCTGTTCTCAAAAGTACATAACTTAAGAGAAATAAGATAAAAAGTATCTTCATCTACACAATTTTCTCAATAGACATTTTTACATGGATTAATAAATTTTCTTTAAACGATAAATGTTCCCTTAGACATGTTAATTTAGTCCAAGATTAATATGAACTTCCTTATTTTAGCTGATAAATTTAAATCCTATTTTTCATGACAAAGGCATAAAACTTTCAACTGATTAAAGAGAAAAAGAAAAAATCTTAAACTTTTTGCACAGCCAAAGGGCAACTCTAGAGAACAGAGTCTTCCAAGCTAAAAAATGACAACTTTAAGAAGTCTACTATTAGAACCATTAAAATGAAAAGAAATCCGATTTCTATCAAGCAGATAGTGAATACTGCCCAAATTAATTTTTATAATATAATAAGTCATATGCAAAAAGTATGATTCTGTCAAATATGTAGTAATTCCAACCAACATTTATTTGCATGGTAATTGAAAGATTTTCAAAAAGCATATCAGAGTCAGGCCAAAAAATCAGGTAAATATGTCCTAGTGCAATCATACATATATATTTTTCATTAGTAGGGATAGAGGGTAACTTGAGATTTTCAGGAAGAAGTTGAAGGAGATGACTGGACCTCAGCAACTGAGATTTGACTTCCTGGACTCCACACCACCAATAAATAGGCAAAGATGGACTGAGCTGATGACTAGATAGCAAAATCAAGTCTACTTTCATCTTGAAGTTTTGAAATGAACACTGCTTAAATACAACTCCAAAGCCGTCTGGAATTTTAAGAAAGGAGTTATTTCCATTCTCAGATTGTATTCCATACGTTAGGTAACCAAGAATAAGGTAATGGAAAATAATATTAATAATATAATATACCACTTAGAGTGTGTTAGCATTGTGCTATGCATTTCACATACATCAGTTCACCTAATTCTCACAAGAATTCTACAACTAAGAGTACTGCTCCATATTTTACAAAGGTGAAGACTGAAATTCAGATGTGAAGTAACTTTTCAAAAAGATCTTCCCAGTCCTTCGACAGCATTAAATAAGTTTAAATTTGAAATAGAGATCGTATGGTGCAGCGCTTTTCGAACATTTAGGGCAATGATTCACAGTAAGAAATACATTTCACACTGTGACCTATTTCACACATGTACCTGAAAAAATGTTTCACAAAGAACTATTGGCTTTTACCATAAATGATGTATTTTGAGACTTCTCTATTCTACTTTTTTCCTATTCTATTGACTTACTTTTGATTTTAAGCTATTGTCTTAATATAGTGGATTGCTCTCATGACCCACTGTTGGGTTTTGACCACAAATTTTGATCATTTAATTATTTGATCATTTTATTATTTAATATACTCTTATAATGTCTTTGGTTCCCAAAGCAAACTAGAATTTTCTTGAAAGCAGATGCTCCAACGTTCCATGTCCTAAGATTGTCAAATCTTAATGTATGTTTGTAATTTAATAAAATTTAATTTTACCTCTGAAAATTCATAATCTTGTTTAAATAGAAGAGTTCATGATATGATTCTCAGAAAAGATACTAGTAAGAGGACTATCATTCCTGTATATTTTATTCACTTGTTTTCCACCATAGGGTTGGCTTTATTAAATGTTCGAAGACCTAATCTTCTCCCTTTTGCTTCATAAAATGAAACTCTGTCCAGATATGTGTAGTTTGAACTCAAGAAAATAAATTATACAAACCACACATGAGATTAAGAAGCATACATTTCTTCTATTACTTTTAGCTATTTCAGAAAGTAAATTTCTGTAAGACTCCTTCAGATTATTTTTACATCATAGAAAAGTCGATACCTTAATTCATATCTTCTTGGAAAATGATACCCATGTGATTTTTTTTTAAAGTTTCCATCAACTTTAAAAATGAAACTGTTTGTTTTTAAAATTTTAAATAAATTTTTTTTTTTTTTACTGTTTGAAGGCACTCAAATGCTATATACAATCTCTGTATTTATCCTTGTGGACCCTTGCTATTACTATGACTTAAAAATTAAAAAGAAAATATAACATCAGGTGGAAAAAATATATATTTAAAATATTCATTGTGGGTATCATGAGAATCATATGGAACTAAATGCCTGCTTTCAAAACTATAAATACAGTGAAATCCTTTCAACCTAGCATATGTTGCTTCAAATGAGACTCAGTTTTGAACAGATGTCCCCTTAGACCTGTTATATTAAGACTAAAATTACTAAATCGGCATTAGTTGTTTTTAAACTTAGGGCCATATTTTGCCACTGATTTTTATTCAAAGCTCCCACAGGCGTCAGTGGAAGATCCATGCATGGAAAAATGGCATAATATGTATCCTAGTTTATTGAGTTCATATGTATACAGCAGTATAAAATAATATATTACATTTACACTCATTTTACTTATGTAGTATTATAGCATTCACAGTAACAAACACTATAGTTAAGATTTAAACTCATCTTTTGTTATAATACCCTGTTTTCACTCACAGATAACTGTCTCAAAAAAATGTGTTTAGAGCTGAACCCCCTGCTTACTTTCAGCTCAAGGATGTATGGTTGTATTGGAAGTCTGAGTTCTATCATTCAGAAATTTTTGAGTCTCATGTGAAAATTTCATTTTTTTGCATCCTTAATGCAACATTTTCATGCAACTCAAAAACATCTGGAGTGTAAAACTTCAAACTCAACATGTGACAAGTTTTCAAGAAATAAAAGCCATTTTTCTAATTTTACAAATACTTAAAAAATAGCAGTGGTTAGAAATACATGCATGCACACTAAAGGGATTAGAATTTTAATCATATTATTGCCTGCAATACTCTGGCGGCATCCATCTACCGGCATTCTTATAGAACGCTATAATCTAAAACCTATACCAAGTTTTAGAAGGAAAAACAAAAATACTCTACCGAACAGTAGTTTCACAAATTACTGTATAAGGATTTTGTTTGACCTAGCAGAGGGCTATTCCTTGAAACACTAACAATATATAAAATAATTTTACTACTCCATGGCATAAAAAATATGGATTTTGTCATTTTCTGTTTTTCCTTGTTAAAAAGGAACATAAAAAGGATGTTAAGTGCAAAGCCTTTACCACTACAAAATTAGAATTGAAAAAGATAAAGAACCCAAGAAACTGCAATATGAAAAATAGAAGATTTTCAGAAAAAATCTCAAGTCTACCAGTGTTTTCAGTATTTTTGAATTCCTTGGGTATTAAACTCACATGTAGAAATATGAAGGGGAGAAAAAAAACACATGCAGTGACAAATAACAGTGCTATTATCAGTCAGTAACATGAATAATTTTCTTTATCCTGCTTAACATTTGCAACATTCTGACTGAATAATTATATTAAAGATGAACTTTACTCCAGTAAATAACATTTGGAAGGTAAAATGGTACCATTAATGCACAGTTATTAAAGTTGATGTCAAGAACTGTGAGGATTTCCTTTCCTCCTTTTACGGAAGATACAGGAGGGTTTCTACAATTCAAGAGATCTGAGAGCAAATTATAACACTATTAGGGAATGAAACAGGAGGAAAAAGTAATTAAAATATTTAAATCCTCTACTGTAGCACTTAACTTGCAATGTTTGATAAAGGCATTGCATTTAATATCTTCATTAAATAAAATGTACATATTTCCTTAGTATTTCTCTAGAAAGATGATACACTTATCATGATACAGACATCATTATATCTGTAAAGTAATTCTGATGTGGTATTTAAGTATTTGATTTCAAAAAATTTTGTTCACAAGTTAAAAATTAGAATTTTACATATGGATGAAATATTTCTAAGAATTGTCATTTGACATACCTTTGAAACATCAAGACACTGTTTCCACAGGAAAACATTTTCACTTTTTACTACTCTAAAACTAACCATCTTAACAAGGAGTAAATGTCATGATTATTCTTTTCTGAAAAAATTAACTGATGAAATACTGCCTAATAATTTGGATATTATTTTTCTTTGATATGCATAAAATTATGGAAGGTTGACTATTAAGATGAGTAGACTAAGTAGAACTTCATTATTGTTTGGTTGCATCTTTCCATCCTACAGGCCCCTGCATTGGTAGATAACATTTTAGCCAATTTAATAAAATCATATTCTTACTCTGTTGTAACTTCTGATTTATTATCAATAAAATAGTTGATTAATAACCTAATTATTGAGTATTTTATGTTTAAATAATTCTTTGTCCCACAGATTCTATTTGTCCTAAAATCATTAGTATTTTAGATTTAAATAATTCTATTTGTTGTTTTCTGTTTTTGTAGATTGATGATAATATTTAAGAACTAAAATGTAAATTAATATAACTGGTTACTAGAATATATTAAAAAAGAATACATAAATATATGGTATGAGACGCTCGTTCAATGGAAATTACAATCATATAAAAGACTAGTTTACTAAGCAAATTTCTTTAAGTCAAATGAATTAATATAGCTATTACATATGAAGTGAGTATAACCTTATTTTCAATGCATGTAAGAAGGCAGGTGGAAGTGGGTTTTCCCCCCATAATTGTAAAATGATGAGTGAAAAGTTTTAATTAAAGCAGAGTGACTCAACAAGAAAATAAGTTTCTTGTTTGAAAAGTAATTGCAACAAATAGACTTTTTTCCCAGTTAAATTATATAAAAACATCTCGTTACTAAATTAGTCCATCATTCAAAATACGAATGTAGTAATGCCAAAAGTTTGAGAAAATTTTACTGCTGCACCTAGTGAAGGTATGTGCTTTCTGTGTCATTCATGACGGATTAGCATCATTTATTTTTAAAGGGTCCCCAAAAGACTGGAACATTACACATATGCTGATACATAAATTGACTGGGATAATGACATATTAATACCTATTTTGATAAGTCAGATAAGTGATACCAAGGTATCACTCAAATATACACATCGAGGTCCTAGGAATATATGTATGCATTTTAATGTTAAATCTAGGAACATATTCCCACTTAAATGGCATAAAATTAGGTGGAAAACATTCGCTATGTGTTAAGTTTTAGTCTGTTCTTCAATAACATAGCATGGCTCAAACTATCATTGAACATAAGTTAAAAATTAAGGGAAATATTTCAAAATCAGCCTGTAATTTGAGTTGGGCAAACATTTAGATATAACGTTGAAGGGGTTTTTAGAGGAGAGCTGTGACAAATCTGGGTTTTGCTTAGAAGATTATCTCACAATCTGATTTTTCCCTGTCTAAATTGTATTTCAACAAGCAGTAAATAACAGTCTGCAAAAAGGAGAATATGTAAAAGGAAGGAAAATTCATCTTACTGAATTTAATAATTAACTTTGTTGACATAAAGGAAAAGGGCAAGCTTCACTTTTCAAGCCTGACTCATGAAGAATTTTCTCCTTAATAAGACACTGACTACATTTAAGCTATAAAATTTCCACACATAATACTGAAGCAGTAATGTACCATGTTTCTATCTCCAAATTTATTTAATTTGTTTTAAATTTAGAGATCCTTTATATCTTATAGTTATTCTTTACCAGTTCAAATATTTATGTCTCTATATATTCATATAGAGTTATAGATTTTTATATGCATGAGTTATTAGAAGTCACAAAACTATGTAAAACTACGTAAAATAAAATTCTGTGTGAGTGACATGTTTGAGGACTTCTTAAAATAGTAATTTTCAGTTACATATTTTACACCACAAAATGTACAGACACCCAGTGTTTCTTTTTTTCCTAGCAACAAATACAGGTGAGTTTATAGATTCCTTATAAAAGCTTTAAATGACTCTAAATTCAAAGCCATAGAAATAGAATCGAAACAACGTAGATTGTTAGATATTTTGATAGTACATATTCAGTGCTCCTGTGATAACGTCGACAGCTGTATCTTTGGCATTGAAAATTCAGTATGAGTTCTTGACAAAATTTTGTAGCTTAGAGCTTCGTTTTCTTTTAAACAAGGAAAAACAGGGTTGAATAAGAGATGAAAACTGAGAGGAAACTGTTAATGATTGTTTTTTTCTTAGTAAGTTTATCTTTGGGACCCTGAATTACCTTTCACTTTATTGTATGATGTGGACTGTATGAATCCATTTAAAAACCAACTGAGTTGTACCACATTTTAGGAAAATTATATAATATAATATATATATATATTTTATATTTATTTAGAAGCTTTGAAATCGTACAGTAAACACTTTGCAACACGGTGTATAAACTACAGAATGTCTTTGATATTTTGTGGGTCTTCAGAATACAACATGTTTTATAGCCCACAGGTGAAAAGAACATAATCACAATCTCTCTTGTAAAGTTGGAATAGTTTGGGGAACACTTGATCACACAAAAATAATATAAAACAGTCAAGTTTAAAACAGTGATATTGCATTTATAATGCACAAATTTCCTTTATCTTTACGACTGGCTTCTCGTGGTGAATATAAACATCGAAAGGGCTCAGTGACATTTGGAGAGAGAAAGATATATAGTCCTGTAAACAGGCACACACTGATCGGAGAGGCAAAATCAGTTGCCTAAAGTTTCTACAGTTCTGCACGTTTCAACTCATTTCTCAGGCCTGCTGAGAGCAATTGGGTCCTATAATTGGCCACGATGACTCCGTCGGCAATCTGATACTCAGTTACACACAACTAACTGGATGGCCAAGATAATGAAGTTGAAAAGTTGATGCTTTTGTTGGTCGACTTTGTGCAAATCATGCTGCTTCAGGTAAGTCCTGTAGAATTGACTAGCATATCCTTTTCCGTGCTGTGAAAAAGAAAAAAAAAATACTCTAAGAAAAAGAGCCTGACTTTTGCTGTTTAGAAGGACACATTTTTGTAAAAGAAGCAAATACAGTGGAGACAAGTTGTCTGTCCGTACCAGACCCACGTAGTGGCGAAATATTTCGTGTCACCTTGGTTTCTAATAGTCAGAGTCATTCTGTTGTTCGGCTTTCTCAAAATGACAATTTTGACATTTATGCAAATTGGTTTTGCGTGGGAAATGCGCACTTTATACATCGAACAACAATTATGTGAAGATCAACTTTTTAAAATCAATCCCTACTTCACTACTTATGAACAATCAGAGTAGAAGAAAAATCTTTGGCCCTTACATTTCTGGAATAAGTCTTTAGAATATCTGTGAATTACTGGTTATATATTTAATTTGATAAACTTTAAATTAATTATATTTAATCTATATATAATAGAGAAAACTGTGCCAGAAAGTGTTAATGTAGTTAAAAAATTAAAGAATGGTTAACATTTTATGGGTTTATTTTATCTATTTTTTAGAATTATATAAAAACTGAATTTTTTATGGCCTATAATTTTTTTTAAAAATAGATTTCTCCCCAAAAGGAACTTGTTTTTTTTCCTAAAGAGGAAACAGGTGAAGGGTAGTAAAAGGTATTATTGAATTTGGTCCAGTCTTATAAAACATATTGAATCATGAAGCAGAATGTCCAAATTCAATCATTTGGAATTTATGGTTTTAAATATTTTATGTATTTATAGTGGTAAAGGATATTTCTTCCCACCTATTCATAATCTTTGTAATTTCTGTAATATCTGCCTATGTGCACATGAAGGAAGCTGCATCTTCTAGTTCAGTATTTGGCACGAAAGAGATGTATAATACAAATGTGCTAAAAATCAAGATAGTTCAGTTGTGATCTTTTAAAAATCACATATATGTGTATTTCATTAAAAATAAGAACTACCCTAAATAGCATAACTTAATTGTTTCCATCCAGTGCATAGTGGCTTTTTTATTTTAGCTTAAGAACATAGTGACCATTTCAATCCCTCTCCTATGGTACTTCCACTCATTTCAAGTAGATTTTCTAGGTATATATTTTTCTTAATTTTTTCTCTAATTAACTCAGTTTCTGACCAGACCATTAAGCATTCCTTCATCAGTTCACCTTTTAGCAGAAACACAACAATTAAAATTGTAAAAGTCAGGTACCTCCACTGACTGACAGAAATCTAAGTGAAAACGAATATATACATGGTCTGTGTGGTGACCAGTATTGAAAATAATCAAAACATAATTTGCTTTATAATATCAAGAATTATAAAATGAGTTTGCTACAAGGGACTACATGGTAGCTATTACAACTTACCTGGTCATAATGCTACAGAGAATATTCTGCAAGCAAATAGAAACGTCACTCTTGTAAAAGAATCAAATCCTATTTTCCTTTGCCCTTGAATTCAAACTTTCTGCTCCATGAAAATCTTGATAAATAATTTATATTTTCCTTATAGCAATTAAGATTTAAAATTCTTCAGTAAATCAAAATATTTAGCCATCATAGAAATTCAGGTTTATAAAATGAAATGGAACAATAATTATGATCACCAAAAAATATACTGTCTAAACTGAACAACTACGTGACTGAGAGGGAGCACTATTAACAATGATGCGAGACATAATCTTGTGCTTTTCTGGACAACCCAGAAAATATCATCACCCTATACGTAATATTACTTCTCAAAATAAGTTAGAGATATTACTTGCAGGTTGAAGTTTTTTCTTAAGCAATATAAATCAGAAAATACTGATTGAACAATCAAAAAAAGGAAAGAAAAGAAAATACTGATTTATAGGAAACATCATTCTAGTATTTCAGAAACAAAAGAGATTCAGGTGTGACCCATACTCAACCTATAAACTAATTCACTGAGTGAAAAATGAATATACTGAAAAGCTGCACCTTAGTATAAATGCAGAAATAAGTCAACCTAACACATGTTTAAATCAGTAAAATATTTCTAATTAAGTTAAAAGATGATTTATGAGAAAAGCTATTAGCATAGATAGTATGTTCGTTTGATTTGATCAAAATATGGAAAGAAATTGTGTTATTAAAATGGTTCAGAGTTACAGGAACACAGAAGCTTAGTCTACAGTAAACTCAACAACTGAAATATAAACATAAGCTTAAAAGTATATTTTATTACTGCTTAGGGTGACATGTGCAGTGATTTTATTTAAAGTGCATCTATTCCCATAGTTGTCTGAATAATGTACTTGCCCTGCATTAAACTGACCTCTCCCCACCTAACTTTTAATTCAGGAAATGCAAATCTGAATAGGACAAGTATAAGGACCGAGACTGAAAGTCATAACAAATTAGAATGGAGGGGGAAGATTTACTTTATTTGAAAAGCTACAATTTCCCCAGTGTTAAGGATTGCTAGACAAACCAGAGAAAATAAAATATTATATTATTACTAAAATTACAGCCACAGACATTTTGTTTCAAGGCTTTTGGGAGGTGAGTTTAAATACTGAATAATCATTATTCTTCAGGGGCTGTGAGGGTTAATGTTGGAGAAGCAGCGCACAAATATAAAAGGAAATCAATTTTCTAACATTTTAGAGCCTGTACCAGGGACAATTATTCCACAGTGTGAACTATGCATTTGTTGAAGCGTTTCAGGCTAGAGTGTGGGCCAAATACGTCGAATCTCTAGGCTTTCTGATAGCCCATACATATTTTGGCGTTGTCAAAGCAGAGTTGGAGAATTTCTGCTTTTCCTTTCCATTTCACAAATGCGTTTTTCCCTAGCTATATTCATCAGCAGGTGTAGGGAATTGGTCACTTGACATGAATGAAATATTCTATTTTCAGTCAAATGAAAAGGAAAAGGAGGATTAGTATCCCTTTATACCTCTGTTTATTCAGTCACTGCATTTATTCTTCATGGTGAGTCAGAAATGTTACATTTAAGACGTTTATCTTACTGTCTGAACTACAGATGAAAAATTACTCTCAATGGAGAAGAGATTCAAATACCTACCTTTTTATAATTTAGCATATATATGTATATGTATATATTTAACATTTATGTATGTATATTTTCAGCATACACATACAATTTTAATAAAAGTTCCAAGATTCACACTTTTCCTTATATTGTGGAATCCTGTTGTTGCCTTTGGCAATTTGTAAAGTATAATATTAAGCTGTGGAGCATTTAAAAATTTTGATAAATGACTGAAGAATGACTCTAAACATGTATGTCTCAAAAATAATTGAAAAATAGCATTACTGATTTTCCATTTATTTCATATATTATAGCTTAATAATAGTCTGGTGAAAAATAATTTTGTATAATACATGAAAATGACAATTGGATTATTGGAAAATTCACATTCCTCTATTTACAGAGCAGGAAGCATAATACCTTTTATCCTTTATGACTGTGTGAACCACAGGAGCTCAAATAATAAATAAAGCTGGTGAAGTGATCTATTTACTTCTGCAGCTAAAAGAAAGAACAGCCTTCAAATATTCCAGATGACTGAAACTCTCCACTACAGTGAAAAACTTCTAGAGGCTGAGATCAGTAATGGATTCCGAGCTCATTCAAATGTTTAACGAGCCTCCTGGTCAGGACACTGTGTGTGTCAAGTGAATCTAGCGTAGGAGAGTTTCAGCCCGTTCCCCTTGTGGAAGTCAGAAGCACCTGCTCTCTGTTCCCCGTGTGAAAGCATATCATAAACTGAAAGATCATTTAAAAGCAAGCCCCCATTAGAGCTCAGTCCAGCTGAATAATCATTCTTTTAACTTTCCTCTGTCTTATTCTTGAACCGTTTTGAAGAGAATCTTCAAAAATGTCTCTAAAGGACTTTTTTTTCTGTTTAACCCTAAAGTTCAGAAATGAGCATGTGTTAACTATTAAAAGTGGGTCACTGCTTTATCTTTTATCTTCTACTTGAACACCTTTATATGTGCTTTTATTTTTTAAAATATAGTTGTATATTGCTCATATTATAAATGTTTACCTCCTCACAAAAATTACAAAAATTGTTTAAATATATATATGGTAAAAAAAAAACACTGATTACATTCTGTGGTTTATTATGAATTATAAAGACTGAAGGCTTTCTGTTAATATGATATAGATTGTTTTTCTGTCCAATAGTAGTTGCTCAGTACAGCATAAACTTGAGTTCTTCTATTTATTTTATAATGTTCACACCATCCTCTTGTTAAATTTCCTTTTTTCCTGTCATCAAGCAGTATGCCTTTTTATTCTAGCTTGACAGAATTAAGGGATTATAGAATATATCTAGAAAACAAGAGTTTATTTGGAGGAGGTGCTTCTCATATGTAAATTTGATTAGTCTTTTAGAGAGCAAACTTTGTGAAATAAATGACTCAAATAACCCTTCAGACTGTTCACGTAAGAAATATGTAGTAAAGCCATGTGTGTATTTTCAGTTTAGTCTATATATGTATGCAATGCTCACAACATAATTTGCAATTAATAAATGTCTATTAAATTAAAAGATAAATCTATGGGTATTTTAAGAGATAAGAAATTGGTAAGTGTAGTTTCGTGGACTAAAACATATACATCAATTAATGAGTAAAATGGGTCCTTTCTAAGACAGGAGACAAACATATTGAGCATAATATTCTCTTAATAGACCTTCTAGCTATGGCAACTCTGGCACCCTTAAATAGTCACCATCTTGCCTAAGAATCTCGTTACCAATACTGCTATTATTCAATTGCAAAGCGACTGTATATCAATTTGAGGCCATGGAATAAAAACGTATTGGACTTCATTTCCTCACTAAGAATGATGTGTGCAAAGAAAGAATTAATTTTATCAGCTGGAAGTTACCCTCAAGAGAAAGCAGAGTTGATGCACTGTGCAAAGCCCTGAATTTACTACCTGTGAAAATTTCAAAATTTATTCTTGCTCAGAGTTTATTTTTAAACCACATTTTGTTGTTAATTA